AGGGCGCCGGCCGGTGCAGACCGACGGCGGCGCGCTCAGTCCCCGGGCTCGCACGGCACTGGCCGCGGGGCGGAACAGCGGCCCCCGGAGACCGTCCAGCAGCCCTCAGCGTCCCGGCCTTGAGGGCGCTCCCTATGAGGCATGGACGCCGCGGGGAAAGGGGCCGGCATGGGCTCGCCGGCTCTGCCGCCTCTGCGATCTTGCGAGCAAGAATCGGCGGGTGGGCGTCTGCGGGACCGGGGAGTGGGGGCGAGGGGGCGGGGAGGAGGAGGAGCGGGGCGGCCTAGTTACCAGGTGGGCGCCTGAGTCATCGCCGGGGGCTGCGCGCCCCTCCGGGGAGACGTAGCGGCTCCGCGTGGCCCGGCACACAAGGCTGGTGTGCCGCTGAGTGGGGCGGCGACAAGGACATCCCCCGTTCGGATCCGTGGGGAGGGCGGGGAGCCGTCACCGGCCAGTCGGGCGAGGGGCGCGCGGGGCCCAGGCGAATCCCGACTTGGTCCCGGCGCCGGAGCCAGGCGTGGAGGGGAGGGGCCCCAGCGACAGTCTGCAGGAAGGCGGCTTCTCACTGCCTATGGGTGCCACAACGTGCGGTTTGTCTCCCGCCCCGATGGTCCGTCTGTCCGGGGAAGCGGGCCCTGCTCCCGGCGAAGGCGCACCCTTCCCTCGGGTGTCAGCCAGGAGACCGAGGCCGGGCGCAGGGGCAGGCAGCGGCAAAGTTTAGGGGAAATCCTGGGCCCGCAGAGGGGGTCGCCAACCAAACGGGCCCGCGGAGCCCCGGGCTGCGTGCAGGTGCCTTCGCGACTCCAGAACTATAAATCCGCGGCGCAGACCTGACTGCCCCCGCTCCGGCACGCACGGAAGGGCACGCTCAACTTGGGAAGCAAACGAGGTCCTGGGATACCCCCGGAAAGGCTCGGCGGGCAAAACGAAGGAAGGATACAAGGCCACAGCCCCACCGCCCTCTGCGCCCGCCAGTCCTGGCCTCGGAGGGGGACCGCGTTACGCCTGTGCGGCCCCAGGCACCCGCGCCCCGCCACTGGGACTGGCTTATTCTGGGGACGTTGGCTGCGAGGCGCCGGGGTAGGACGGGCTATGGAGGAGAAAGCAGACAGACGCGGTGACGCGGGTACCCGGGTCGCCCCCGAAGGCCGCGGAGGGAAGCCGGGCGAGAGGCGAGCAGAGAAGCCGGTCGCCTGGGTAGCCCGCCCTGGAACACCTGCTGCTGCGGCGCCAGGCGCCCACGTGCGGACGCGGGCGCGGGGGTGGGTGCCGCCGCAGCCCTGCCCTAGTCCCCACCTGGCGCCGTGAGAGCGCGGAGGACCTCTGCCGGCTAGTGAGATGGGGGATTAGGAGAGGGCCCAGCGTCAGAGGGGTCCCTGGGTCCCGGATGCAGGTTCCAAGTCTCCTTCTACCACGCGGTGGGTCCTCGGCTTTCAGGCACTGCAAGTCCTCGACCGTGGGGTGAAGTGGACCGATTGTGTGTCCATTTAATAAAAAGTGGGTAGATGGGGCGGGGAGAGAGACTTAGAAGATCGCGCCCGCTCGCTGCGCCAACTCCACCCGAACAAGACGCCTGTGAGAGGAGCTAGCAGCCAGAGAGGAAAGAAAGGGGCGTGCGGGTGGAGAGCCGGGGATGTCTCCAAGCCGGCGTGTTCCCCACGTACGTACTTGTAAAAAGAGCGAGGGGAAAACAGGCAGAAGGTCTTGGGAGTCTTGGGACCCAGGAACGATTCCTGTGCCTGCGGGGTGGGGATGGAGGCAATGGAGTGGAGAAGGAAGTGCCCCAGCTGCGAAAAAGCAAAGATAGCGTGGTGGGGCCGGTTGATAGATGGGTATCTTAGATGGTAAACGGCAATAAAACATTGCCTTGGATCCAGGTCACCTGGGGGAGGGGGGCTTGAGAAATGGCTATTGACAAGAGTCAGTAGTTAAATGTTGACATATTTCTTAAGATTCTCTGGTTATTTTTTTTATATACATAAGTATGTCTTCTTTAGGAAAATGTCAGAATTCTTCAGTGAAACAGGAACAATGTTTAAACTACTTTAAGAGAAATGACTGCGTTTCTTAAAAGCAATTTAAAGACAGAGGAATGAAAAATGGGCTTTATGCTAGATCAGTCCACCAGGATATTTCTAACCCTTCCCACCTCTGCCCAGGTCCGTTTCCCAGGACACAGACTTTGTAACCTGGCCAGGAAAGCGGCCGCTGGCAGACCTTTGCATCAGGAAGAGAGGATACAAGAAAGTCAAGGAGGAAATCCCAGGGGACAAAAGAGGAGGGATTCTTATTCCTTGGTCTACCTCCTCATTCCTCCACCATCAGCTGGTGGCCAGTGTGTCTGTGCTTGCCTGACTTATTTGAAATCAAATTCTTATAAAGTGCAGCCTCTTTGATCTTTGATCCCCAGTGGCCACCTGCTCAGTTCCTGGGTTTGAGGAGCTGAATGCCTGCCCAAACCTCAAGGATAGGGGAATGAGTGTGTCCCAGCCTGGACCCAGTCCAAGGCAGGGGCACACTCAATGCTCTTAGCTGTCCACTGACCAGGAAACTCAGTCCAGGCAGATGCTGAGGCTTTGCTCTCAGCTCTTCTGATTCTCGGGGCTGCCAGTGTGACTTTTACCTTGAAGATCCCATTCATTCTCATACACACACGTACACGTACTTTAACCATCCACCACATCCCGCTTGCTTGTCAAGCTGCCTTCTCATTTGTGACTTCCAAAACTTCACTTGCTGAGTAATGCTGCCTCCCTAATGGGATCCACAGAATTTTTCTCTCTGATAAAAGCCAACATATGGGAAAAGCTTAGTTTCTCCAAAGGAAGGTTATGCATACATTTGGTCAAATTTCAAGATGGGATTATTTTGAAAGGGACATTTTATAAACTGGTAGTTTTTATGAGTTAACAAATTTGCTGTACTAGAAGAAGGTGCTTTGCCAGAGTTCTCCAAGATGAGCATTGAAATAGAGACTAACAGAGAAGATAGGCTGAATTAAAGCTACTTGAATCCATTCAAGTGTTACTGTTGTTTTTTTTTTTTAGCCCACACTGTCATAAGCAGGATTTCCAGAACCCTAAAAATGAGTTGGTGTAGGACCTCTACATTTGCTCTTCTATTTAAAAAACAAGTACTATTTGTCTGTATGTACATAGTTCTCTATAGAACATAATAAAACCCCAGTTCCACTGAGGCTCTTTCGTTAATCTGTCTGCAGTATTGATATCACATCAAGGTTGTCTTCTATGGCTGAGAAAGGTGTTCTTACAAAGAAAAAATATAATAATGCTTCTGACACGTGGTATGACGTTAGTGTTTTATTTCTTAATAATATTTTAATTTATTTACGTAGTTATGAAACAAACTTTATACTTCATCCATTTTATTAGCAATATACAAGATTTAATATTAGCTTTTTAAAAACTATTATCAATAAATAATCCACTGTCCAATACTGGAATGCTCTTGAGAATTGTCTGCGATACTCTAATATGAACCTGGTTTTAAACAAGATTGATGAAGCTGTTTCTCTTCAACAGTCTGTAGAGTATCCTGATAGAGTAGAAAGTCTTCAAAAAATAGAAGACAGTATGTTTCAGGATCATGTCTAGGGAAAAATAAGATACAGTTGTCTTAGAAGTATGACTATATTGTATTGATGATATCACAAGAATATTAGCCTCTCGTGAAGAACTTCCGTGGCACTAAATTACTAAACTAATTATTTAACCAGTACTTACAGACATGTGGTTATTATTCATATTGTTTCACATTACATGACAAATGTGCTTCATGAACAATGTATTATCTAATTTGGGGAATGGGAGAGGGATAAAAATAATCCCATCATCCACCAATTCATGGTAAAATTCTAGAGAAATTATTTTCATTCTCTTTGATGTTTAATTGACAGTAGCTTACAGAAAATATCAAGATTTTTTTGTAGTCACAAGAATAATTAATAGCTAGTGATCCATAAACCAACATAAACTAGAGAAACATTTATTAAAAGATATCCTAAGATTGAAAGGTGTATTTTTCTGGAAAGACCCTCGTTTGTACTATGGACCATGCCATAACACCCACTCATTATTATTTTGGGGAAAGAGCAGTTACCTTCTCTAATTAAAAAAGGAAATCTAACCGTATTTTAAAAAACATAAACTGAAGAATAAATCTACATATTTCATGTCAAAACATCCATTAATGAAAGCAACCAAAAATTAACTTAAATTGGCTAAATCAGATATGATATGGAAAATAATAAAAGCAAAGATTTTTTGCTTATTGGAAATAACCTTGAAAGTTAAGGAGGTAGAACAAGACCCAAACCAAACCCCTTGCCGTTGAGTCGATTCCGACCCGTAGAGGCCCTATAAGATAGAGTAGAACTGTCCCCTTAAGGTTTCCAAGGATGAGCTTGTGGATTTGGAACTGCTGATGTTTTGGTTAGCAGCTGGCCTCTTAACCACTGTGCTACCAGGGAGCCAAGGTAGAACAGG